ATTCCTTGTCATTAGTGAGTCCTCCTCAAACAGATCTTTAATATAATGTCACTTTTTATTGTTTGTGTGCTGAATGTTGTGAGCAAAGCTTTTTTAATAAACAGTCTATGGTGCAGAGTGAAGTTAGAAAACTTTGTGTCCTACCTGGTTTATGTGCAGTGAAGATTTGATAGTCAATTTTTTTGATAAAATGAAACTAAATTTGCTTTATGACCATTTACGTGTGTGGCGTACTATGAGTTAGGGTGATTTACTTAACTGCAGTTTTTTTCATACATTTTATGTTGGCTATTTCAGAGGTCTGTCAATCAAGCAACACAATCATCAGACCCAAGTTTATAACTTTTCTAAATAAGTTAGTCTGCTATCCAGACCAACTGCTGCCCAGCACTGGTCACCTATTAATTCTATTTTGAAAGTACTGCTTGTCCAAATCACACAAAACCTTTGCCAATGACAATACTCATACCAAGTGTGAAGCTGAGAATTGAGCGGTTCGAGAGAACATTCCAGATACAGACAGACATTCACAGAATTAGACATTTTTGAATAAAGCTGGTTCAAGGAAATATATATGGAGAGTTGGGGGTTTTGGGGGGGAGGTGGAATGCTATCACTACTATCAGTGCTAGCATCGCAGTGAATGTGTCACCATGATGGATGATGGAGGGAGGTAAGCACCTTCCCTCTTTCCCCTGGTGATTGAGAAGCACGGGGCATAAGGGGTTAGAGCTGAGATCGCGCCCAAGATATGAAGCTGGTGACCACTCCACCTTGTCAATTCTGCTCCACCCACCTGTAGAGTCTCAGCTAATTTGAAAATTGCATTTATAGATGTCAGATTTATTAAGCTGTAAGTATATACTTCTTAATTCTATCAGCTGTTATTGGCAGTGAAGACATGCACTGTGGATATCTCATCCTTCACATCGAATGGAGACTCAACCCCATTGTCCTCAATCATTCATCAGTCACTCACAGGAAAATTACACCGTCCTGTATGTGTTGGCTCATCCATCATTCGGCAGCAGCCACAGTGGCTGTCCCTCTAATTAAATTAGTAGACACCCTTACATTATATCTTGTGGTCGGACTTGGAAGCTTCCCTTTAGAGTTTGTCAGAGTGTGAGTTGGTTGTTTTCACTCTTAAAACCTGCAATAACTGATTTCTTTTGCCACTTGGGGTCAGCAGAAACAAGCTGTGAGTGCAATGCTGACACATCATCGCCACATCATTAGAGGGTGACTTCTGCTGACAGGACTTATAGGAGCCTGATTCAAATGAGGCAGTCAAGGGGGGTGAGAATGAACCAATATAGTAAAAGTGGAGGTCATTGCAACAAAACACTGGAGTAAAAGAGGCTGTAAAGCTGCACAGGGCCTGATGCAGGTCAGGTTACTGTGTCTGTGCAGGTTCATCACTTTTACATTATACAGAGTCATGTGATCCACTGGTATTATAGAAATATGTATCACACCTACTTTACATGTTGCTTATCAGAAATATTTCTAATATTTTTTTCTTAAAATACAGCAATGTTTAACTTTTGAACCACTTTGACTGAACAGATTTATCGCCTGACACAGTGAGAGGATGTAACCAAAATA